GGGGTGGAGTGGGGGCAGTACAGCATTAAAAGAAAACTGTTCAGAATTTTCAAAATGTGGAAGGAGCATGCTGTCAGTGTTGTGCAAGAGGGCCAAAAATGTTTTTCCAGGCCTCATGACCCTGTGTTCTCTCTCAGCCACTTTGCACATTCTTGTGAAATGAATCTTACCTGGGATCTGAAGAGAAGTAACAACTTTTACTTCTGTTTAAAATAAATGTATTTCTGAAATACTAAGCTGTGTCATATTTGTTTTCTCCTGAGTAAAGTCAATAGTCTTTTAATAGACATTGGCATAATCCTCATTTATGGTATTTGTAATTTTCTGAAGGGAAGCCTTGGGTCCTGGCTATCATGAGGATGCTACTTTGACACGTACCCCTCAAATAAACACTGTACAACCTCTAATAGATACAACAMTCTCCTGACAGGACACATCATAAAAACTTGTTGGAAACAGCTTGAGAAATGTGATGATTTGACCTCAGAACTGTGAAAGTTTCACTGAACGTCAACTTGTGTTCATCACATATCTAATTCATCATTAAGAAAGTTTATGCTTAAGGGGGACATATGCAAAGTCTACATTTTATGTATTTTGTCATGTACAGTACTTGGAGGCTCTAGGAATGCTGACAATTTGAGTTTAGTCTTTCCCGGTGCTGCATAGATGTATTTATAGTCTGTTTGGGTCAAACGGGCCAAAAGGGGTGGAGTGATTATTGGGAGTGAGACCTGAGGGGGCAGGTGTGAAGTGCATCTTCCTGTGGTAAATTGTTTGCATTTAAACAGCTCACACCAAAATGAGTTGTTCTCAGACATACCTCAAAACAGGGGTGAAAGAGGGGCTTGTGGAGTTACAATAAACAGGAATTCAGGCCAAAGCATTGCAGTTCCACTTCATTTAGACCCCAACTGAATGGTTTAAATGTGAAAAGGAAGGATTTAAGTACATATCATCACATATCATCATAGACAAACAACTTCTGAAATCCACATGATCAATTTTAAATGATTTCCTTTTAGTTTTGACTCTTATTTGGAGACATTTCCACTATAATAACTTAGCAAATCTCAGTTTGATTTAAGWTTTTGCAGAAAGTCAATTTTAATTGAAGTATTGCTTTCCATCTGATTTTTGCAGAAGTGGAGACTGCGCAGTTTGAGTTATTTTAAAGTTAAAATCTGCCTTTAAAACTGTAAGAATACTCTCATCCAATGTCCAGAATAAACTAAGAAAGTACCTTTAGACCATAAGCACAGTGAACGCAAAAATCTTACTCGTATAAAATCCCCTTTTCCCATTCACGACTGTCCTGTTACATTTGTAAGGGTATAAAACACACTGAAACCAGACCGTTACAAACACACACCCACACATAAACGGTGCATCATATTTCTCACCTCCATCTTGCGAACAGTGATTTATGCTGAATGGGGATAACCAAATGACATGGCTATCAGATATCTGAAAATAAATAAGTCCCTTTCCCCTTTATCATCATCAGATGATGTATGGCAGCATTGCACAAGGTTGATGCATACCAGTACAGATTTACAATACTGTACCCTTGTTTAAAACACAGGCATCCCTTGATTTACGCTTCTTCCAGGGATTCAGGAATGTACATCAGATATTTTACAATAACTGTTATGACTTACTGCCCTTAACAACAGGTACACTGCCTTTCATGTTGGTGCATAAATCAAAGAAAAAGGAGGATGAGTTTCTGCTATGCACACATAATCAAGACACTGAGGGGGCAGCTTGAGGTTTTGTCAAAAGAAAAAAAGATTACAGGCACACTCATTTGCAGTTCATGATAAACATATGAAATAATCAGATATTTGTTTTAAAACTAGATAAATAAAAACTTAAAACAACCACAAAAAGCAAAATATGGAAATCTAGGCGTTCCTGCTTTGGTTGCTGGAAAAACAATATGAAATGTTTACCATAGCAGTGATGCTGTGATAATTTTAGGTGATATTGCAGCCATATTGCCTGAGGATTTGGTTGTATTTGATACCATAAAGCAGTGTTGTCTTCCAGATACCGAAGAAGCTTATTAATCTGTAGTCTAAAATCCACAATCAACCATTTTACCATCTTATAAACTTTTCTGCCTCGGCTCTGTGAGACGTGTCATCACCACCACAGTAGTAAAGTTATGTCTCAGCAGAGTGAAGAGCAAAGGACTGAGCACACATCCTTGAGGAACTCCTGTGCTAAGATGGAGTGTGACTTCTTACTGCCAACTAATGCTTATTTGAAACATGCAAGCAAACAAAGATCCCAAACACCCCTGCAAATCTACAACAAAAAAGCTACCAAAAATAAATAAATGACCAAAATAATCAAGGCGTTACAATGGCCTAGTTGAAGTCCAGACTTCTACAGGATTAAAATCTTTCAAAAAGTGTGCAGCTTCAAATTTATTTAAGCTTATGTAACATTTGAAAGAAGAGTGAACCAGATTTCTTTGACATGGATGTAAAAGACTGATCATCAGTCTTGAAACACACCTGCCTTACATTGTGTTTTTCTCGTTTGATGTCATTTACAAAAAAAAGCTTGGTAAAAATGAACAGTTAAACATAATGAGTTGTCAGTAGAGAATGTTAATCTTTTGTCTGACATCTCCACAAAACATTTGCTGCTACAGGAGGGACACACACTTTCACGAATACACCTCTAACCTTGTTCCCTGGTGTAAACTCCAGGGAATGTGGCAGGGTTCAGAGTTCTTAGAACATTAGCAACAACAGAACAGGTCTGCCAGAGACAATGTGTGGTTTTAGACACTCTGTCACACACACACACACACACACAAAATATACACACAATGAGTCAGTGTGTGAATCACACTCTGGCTATGCTGCCTCTCGACTTTATAACAGCCGCAAGCACGACACTGTATTTAATATTCTAAACAAATGGACTTTGTCGCACGTATTCACAGATTTGCACATATGTATATACGGCGTGTCCCCTAAACATCCACAAACACCTCTTCCTCTCACCAAGTGCTTCAGAGTTAATAAAATATGAGTAGCAAAAGTGACATAAGTACAAATAACACGTTTCTGCTTTCTGGGCTTCATTCAAATGCACACATACAGACAGAGCTGTGCACATCCATCACTGGGGAAGATTGCAGATGAGTCAGATGGAGAGAGGAGGGAATCCTTTCCTCTTTGTGCRCAGCGAGGACTATAGGAGAAGCAGAAACAGGCTTCTGCACCACAAAAACCCAATTCTATTAAAGCTGACTTATGAATCAGTCCCACATATGGACTTGGAAGAGAATGTGCAAAGCATTAGGACAGGATGAGGAAGTAATAAAAACGTTTGCATTAAAATTGTCCATCTGTGCCAGCATGAATCCTCATTTGTCTCAGAGTTACAAAATAAAAATCCTCATGACTCCAAAGGCTGGTTATAATTTAGTCTAGTCATGGAGTCAAGTTCTATGTAGTGAAATTTTTTTTTATGTTTTGATGATTTCATATGCTTTTTTAAAAGCTAACCTTTCAATATCATTCTGCTTGAGGCAGAACACATACACTGCAGCTATCCACAGGGTGAAAAAGAACACAATGTCTCTTTCCAAAAACTGTACAGGCAAAGAGAGGAAAAAAGAAACAACTTTAAAACATCACCCTCTGGTGGTGTTTAAGGGAACCATAGATCAAACTTTAAAACGATTATATGTAAAAGATCATTCCTTATTCACGTTTGAATTTAATGGTTATTACTGTAAAATTATTTTTGTAGTATTTGTTCCTAATTATGTTCAGATAAAAAAAAAAACAGCTTGTTCACACAGAAAAGGTCCCTGGCAAAGTGAGATCAGTGAGCTCAGGGGAAAGACACAGCACATAAAGGCAGCTGCATGAAGCCGTGCGGTGGTTGGGTGCACGCCGCAGGTGTTTAGATATGATAGGAGTGGCATGACGCCAAAGGGCTCTGAGGCAAGGCATCAAAACCTGGAGCCATCACTGACCTCTCTCAGCTGTCCCTATTTGCATTTCAGTTCTCTAATGTCTCTGCATGTCGTTTTCATTTGCTTTAAAGCCAACGAGACAGAAGTACTTTTTAAATATTATTTCCCACCCTTAGGCACCTTAAATTTTTTGTTAACAGGACAGTTTTCAGCACTCCAGTCACCCTGACTCCTGTGTGTTTTGTTCTCTTCAGACTCTTTCTTCTTTTAAAAAGTCCTTCTTCCGCTGTGATCAGGGAGTGGAGGTTTATCTGGGATTGGAAAGCTCTCTGACTCACCATCACCCCCCCCTCCCTCACACAAACATTTTACAGGTGATGAGTCACTGCAACACAGGCCATTCAGTACACCAAAGACAAACGCTAAGTTCATGTGACTGTGTTTGCATACGCATTAACCTTTATATGCATTAGGGTACTGTTTGTGCACAAGTTTCATGACACACCACCTACRCACCTTTTAGTCAAAAGCAATGAGATGATAAATGGTTGTTGGAGTTAGGAACCCTCTGTTTGATACAGAAAAAGGAATTCTTCTACCTTTTTTTTGCATGTAAGTGCATATAATTGTGTTTTTCTTTAACAGATGCGTGCACAGAACCAGAGGCAGAAAAGAATTCACGACGACGCGGGCAGCGGAGGAATATAGAATGTGTCGAGTGACTCATGCGAGACAGAAAGGAGCCATCAGCAGACAGCAGTGAATGTGACAGACATTAGAAAACACAAAGGATTTCATCAAGCTGCACACACACAAATGTATTTAAAGTTATAAACATGTATATTTATACACACCGTCTTCAGATAAACAGATACAATTAAGTGCAAAAAGTTCAAGACTGTTTTTTCAGTTTTCTATGTCTGTGGTAGAGATGAGTCACTTTTAACTGCAGTTCTCACGTAACTACTGTCACTCGGTCTGATTCACACTCAATAATTTCCCTTAAAAAATCAGGCTTTGCTGGTTTTTTAAAGACAGACTGAGTGAGGGTACAGCATGTACTTTTTATTAGTATAGAGTCACATTTTACTTGAACAATACAAAACATAGAAATGTGATGCACATTTTGAGATTGATATAAAAATATTCCAAACACAACGACCGGTTGTAGTTCATAATGCAGATACCTTTTTATTTTTTAATCAAACATTAACACTACAATACTGTTTCACAAGGGTGAAAAGGTTTTGGCAATGACTCAGAACTTTTTTTATAAAACAGTTATTACACCTTTTGTTTGCCTTTTTCTGACGGGCACAAAGGAACACAATAGCTCCAAGACTTTAATGTTCATCATCCGTGTCCTCCTCGTCGTCCTCGTCGCCCTCCTCCTCTTCAGATTCATCCTCGCCATCATCCCCTTCCTCCTCCTCCTCCTCCCTCCTCGTCTGGCGACTGAAAGCTCTTTGTTGCTGTGACGACAAATTAACAGTCACTGCGCAAACGGCAGTCATTACGCACATTTTGGTGCCTCTGTGGCATCCAAAACATTCTCCCGTGTCTGCAGTTTGTGGTTTATTAACAGGGATAATACAAGTTTCAGGAGGGAAGCACGCCCTGAAGTGAAATGAGACCGCATTCCTCGAAAGTTGTTTTACTTTCTGATTGCCTTTCTTGTTTTATCCTTTCAGCAAACAGGGTTTTTTTTTTAACAGCTTACAGATGGATTCAGAGTTTTATCTCATGAGAGGCATTTGAGGCACACTGGTGCGACATGTGTGTGTGCCAATCTGCCTCTGCAAGGGCAGATTGGCACAGTCTGGACACACTCCGTGACATGAGCAAACTCAAAACAACGCCTCTCATTTAGAGATAAATTGACATTTTGCTGTCCAAACACGGCCATGGAAGGATGATGGGTAAACTTTTAATGTGAGCGGAAAAGAATGAAGCGACGAACAGACTGTGACATGTAGAAATATAATATGAGTGAGATATTCTCCCTGGGACAGCTGATAAGACTTGTTATCGAGCATCAGTCTGAGCTGGTATGAGGAAGAGAACCGTTTAAAAAAAAGGTGTAGGGGAAAGTTTTTTATCATCACAATAAACTTACGCAACAGTCAAAAAGATATTCATATATATATAGAAAAAGATAAGAAGTAGTTTGATTATAGCTAGAGGGGGAACTTTTAGGGAACTTCTGTTTTGTGTCACAACATTTAGAGACTGTTAAGAGCTGGAGAATCCTGGATTGTTTTTATCTTACCTGGAAGGTCCCTGATGTGCTCATAAAAGACCCAGTCTGATCAAGAGAGGTTTTGGAGTTGGCTCGCACGATGTCCAACCGTGAGAGGTAGTCAGGTGGGTGCAGGGAACTCCTGAACACCTGCCAAAGACAATAGGGTGTGCTGTATTTTTCCCCACAAAGACAAACAAACAAACAAACAAACAAAAACACCAACAAGGTTTTTTCATAAATCATATCAAAGCTACACACTCAGAGAAAATACTTTAAAACCAGCATTAGGCACAGTACTTTTCAAACCGCAAGTAGCGGAACTAATATTTTGCTGAGCTGATCAGCATTTAGAAATAAAATAATGGACTTAACTCCCGCTAAAATAAAAATGTTTATGTTCTTTGTTGCTAAAACCTAAAAATCCTTTGAAATACGTCACCACATTCTTGACAGACTCAACAATGTTGACTTTCACACGCACCGGCGACATGCTTGATGACGCTGTGCCGTAAGCAGAGCCGCACCAAGCAGACCACAACCTCACGGTTTCGGAGTCCAGGCAAAATCAGAGACTTTAATATAAATTTTAAACAAAAAAAAAGCCTGAATTTTGCCTGAAACTCTCAGACTGAAGAAGTCTCTTGGAGAAGAGACGAAACGTTTCATTAGAGAAGAACCCGTCCAGAAGACCTATACAATTTTTTTTCTTTTTGATTTTTTACCTGGATTACTGAGATGCATCAGGACATTTTAAGCAAAAACTTAACAAGATTGTGTCACGAAATAACACAGTCCACACTCAAAACGACTGTAAAAAGTCAGTCCTTTGCAGTAAATCCAATTTTCACAAGTAGCTGCTATTAATTCTATCAGGAGTGAGGGTTTTGTCCACTGGAGCCTAAGTCCAACACTTTAACCACTCAGCCATCCTGTTTTTTTGTGTATAATAACAATGTTTACATGTCGGAAATAAATTAGCAGAAACACGATTTCAAGCTCTGTGATTTTTTAATGCCTTTTCTCCACGTCCACTCTTCCTGTTTCAGTCAGCTCCCAGGTTGTAGCCCCACCTCCTGGCTTTAATGAAATGAGCTACTTTTACAAAAGAGACACAAACACTTTTATCTGTTGACTTCTAYCATATTACACATTTAGGTTTGGTTTGATATCTGTGTTAAAGTTTAGTTACTGACTGACCATGACTGAAAAGTCTGAGGCAGTGGGATAGAGGGGGGAGCTAAACACTAGAGGGGTGTGTGTTCAAAGACAAAARCCGAGTGCATTAGTGCACTTTTCTGGTTGACACATGTTGGCTTGACAATTTGTTAAATATTAGCAGTTTTTTTTGTCAATTYAGCTTTTTATCATTAGCTAACTTAGAACTTTGTGTAGCACGTTCGATGTTAGCTGTACCCACCTCTGTTTAAAACTGTGAGTGCACATTTAATTTGGTGATGGGTTTACATCACGAAAGCCGCTCAGACGTTCTGATCCTGACATGTCAACAAGACCGCTGGTYTTTACGGCACAAGAAAGAAACGTCTCTAGATCAGGATTGTCCTCATGCCTGTCACTGTGCCTGTTTCAAACAATTCAATCGCTTGTGTTTTTGTATGATGAGTCACTGAAAACCAGCTTTGTTGTTTGAGTTTTGTTTCGATATGAATGGAAGGGAGATGATTAAGGGAGATGATTCAGAGGGTGCGGAAAATAGCACAGAGGGCATCTCCAGGAGGAACCAGACTTTGCTGATTATTGCTTTAATCCTCTTTGTGACACACTTTCTCTCCAAAAATAGCAGGGTAACCCTCTCAAAAGATGGCAGACAAAGCGGTGAGCGTAACTGAAGCAGCTGATCAGGATTCTCTTTAAGTTACATCAAAGTTGAGCTGAAGGGTGTGGACCGATACTGTGGGCAAATTCAACAAAACCTTCAGGTTGATCAAATAAAAACAGTGTTCAAAGAGCTTGAGCAGCTTTTAGTGGGCGCACGATGACTCAGCAGTTAGCACTGTTGCCTCACAGCAAGAAGCTCCTGAGTTCGATCTCCATTTCAGACCTTGGGTCTTTCTGTGTGGAGTTTTCTCGGGATACTTCCATTTCCCCCACAGACCAAATAGGTTGCCTTCAGGCCCAGGTTTTCCTTGCAAAAGAGATCTGTGATCTCAACGGGATTTGCCTGGTTAAATAAAGTTTAATAAATAAATACAGTGGGAGAACAGTCTCACACATAATATATTACATCTGATGACACAGAGGCACTTCAAAGCATGTATTTTAGTGCAAATGTTCCTCAATGAAAACACATTGAAGGACCATTTACTGACCTAACATGACTCTAAACAAGTACCTTAGATTCTGAAAGATGTGTGCGAAAATGAACAACTACGTGACTGCACGTCATCTGTTTGGCTTTTGATGGAATATGTGGACTAGGGTTGGGCATAATCGTATCGTGTGYAATTAATCGTYAGAAAAAYATTAATYGATTATTTTTTGATACTTGACGATTAATACGATTAACGCCAYCAGCCAGAGTCCGCTCGATGCTCCTCTAACCTTCAAATACGACGAACATYTTAAAAGAAGTTCTGTAATTTATTTATCAACCCAATTTAAAATTTGATGTACAGCCTGCAGTCTGTGATTTTGACACAATTTGGAACAGATTTTTACAAAGAGCAAATCTTTCCCACTAAATTGGTCATGTGACCAGGACAWAAGGGTGTCCAGGGACTCCAGGGCACTGATCGTCAAATTAATYGTTATCGRCYAATTACCACAATTAACCGTGATTAATTTTTTTGCCAATATTGCCCAACTCTAACGTGGACACCTTACAAAGTAGCTGTGACTGTAGAACCAAGGATCCATGCTGCTATTACCTGAAGTTGTCTTTCCATAATGCTGCGTTCACACCAAACACGATTTCAGCTTCAAAATCGCAGCCAACGCTTCAAGTTGGTCGCTTGTGCACTTTGAGGTCAGACGCAGGTCAGCTCTTGAAGCGATGCACWGCAAGAGCCTCCCCGCCCCTCCCTCCTCTGTCRGGCTCTGTTTAATGTCGGACGAGGAAGTGGCTTTGCTTTATTTACAGAGAGCAAGAGCATGTCATGTTCATCAGATAATTAATTCATAATTAATTCACCAGATAATTCAGAGACATTCTGAGTTTCATCACCCAGGAGCTGCGGGAGAGGCTCACAGCTCGCTTTCAGGACTAGTTTTGTCTCGAGTCCATTCTGATGAGCCGCTGCCACGCATTGGTGAGGATATCTCCTGTCAGGACACCGACTGCAGGCGCTCGATTTCAGCTAAAGAGCTCCTCTCCATCTGTTTCAGGTTAGTGGACATCATTCAGTAAACTGTCCCATCGGGAAATATGTCGCTACGTCACGCAGTGGAGTCTCTCTGATTGGTTGACGCAGCGCGTCGAGTTGCAAAAGTTCAGATTTTCTAACTTCAGCAATTTGCGCATCAAGCACGTCGAACGCTCAGATCGTTCAAATCGTTCAAATCGCGCTGCTCTAATCGCGCTTGAGGCGCCGCAGCMCTTCCCGACGCTGCTTGAAGCGCGTCCACCATAGACTTTGTATGTAAACCTGCTGCTCCTGACGCTGAAATCGCGTTTGGTGTGAACGCAGCATAAGAATGACTAAAAACAGTTGAAGCTACTTATAATTCTCATTTTCGGTACAGGTGCTAGCTTRGAGCTCGCCAATAGATCACAAATCCACTACCTGAATTTTTTTGAATTGCATAAAAATGTTTGCAATAAAAGAAATTAAGCAAATCTAAAACATGTTAGTGTTTGATAATGTAGTAATGTAGCTCAGGTGACAGAATTTACCTTCACAAACATCAGCGGAAGCAGCTGATGTTTACGTTTGATGTTTGTTCAAACTTGACTGAGTCTCCACGTTTTTGCACAAATGTATCGGATTATTAATTACATCACAGGTATAACTCTAATATAGTCGCTACATTCAAACTGGCTCGCTAGAAATGACTGACCAGAGTATCGTCCTACCTCCAGGTCTGCGTCTTCATCCACACTTTGAATGCTCTGGAAGGCCAWGGTGTAGATCTCCAACGCCTTGGCATGGAAGGCCATCTCCACTGTCACAAACTCACCGAAGACTTTCTGCATGAGGAGAAGAGAAAGACAATCAGACAACTGACTGATGATGGCAACGATGATCAAACAAGAGCAGTTTCAAACTGCCTGAAATAGGTTGAAGTGAGAGGAAACTGTCTGAGGGTAGAAAGCTTTGAAGAAAATTTTGTAAATGATTAACTGAATGTTAGATCTAGTTTAGTATTTTGATCACTGCAGCTAAGTTTAAAACAGAATGAGAGCTGGTGTTATTGTTGTGTTCTGTCTGTTTAAACAAAAGTTCATGATGTTCTTATGTCGGATGTAAAAGGTAACACCTCAAGGGGTGTAACAAGGCAGAGACGYACATTATAAGGTCAATTCATCATTATAYGAGTAGAAGTGTTTGCATGATTGGAGTCAGATGAGAATAAAGATTTTTAAAGATATCCAAGTGGGTTCCTGCTGTTATTCAGACTGCCATTTTTGAACGACGCCGTCTCTACAGCTCGATGCAGCAAACCTTGATGTCCTGGATCTTCTGCCTCTCAAACTCATCTATGGTCTCCTCCAGTTGCTTGGTGGTCCGTGTGGCGTCCATGGTGGCTCTCTGAAGTTCACTTTCAGCCTGAGAGGATGAACATTTATACAGCACAAACTGGGTTTTTAAAACAAATYCARACATTTCCATTCATACACTTTTGGTTGAACTGTGCTCAGTTGAAAACAAGGCTACATTTTCAGAACTGAACCCACCTGTGACTGAAAGTTTTGGTTAAGGAAACACAAAGAAGTTAATGTTCATYAAGCTGAACAAAGACAAACTGATTTGGTCATAAAATTTAGCATTTTGCTGCAACATGCTGCTGCTGTTAGATAAATAAAAAAAAAACATTATAGAACTACAGAAAAAAAAAAACAATGCAAGGATACAATAATCTGTCTGTCTGAAGGGTTTCTGAGTCTGGTCCTCTCGAGCCGAGTCATCTGTTTGGCTTCTCTCTCTCTGGCACTTTGAGTTGCTTTCAGATCTTCCTGCATGGACACACAGACAAGAACAGTGATCGTTATAAGAATTAACTATAGTTATCGTTTGTCATAATAAAGGAAGTCATTGGCTTCATCCGCCTATGGACGCAAACATTAAAGGGTACATCTTTAAAAAGTTTTCCCTTGTGGCTTCATTCCGATTTAACTTAGAAAGTGACAGTGAAAGCCACAGTGAATGCACACTATTTGTTGTTTGCGTGAGACTAAACATAATTCTTRTAATTTTATAATAATTTAGTTGTATAATGAAAGTGCTAACCATCCACTGATGATGAAGACGCTCAGATAAAAATATTCAGATATTCAGTTCTGCTTTCCACTGAAGTGGCAAAAAAAAAAGAAGAAAAAAAGAAAGTGCTAACCATTACAATAAAATGCTGCCCACCATTTGTGACCAGATAAAAGAGAAAAATGTTTGCAAGACAAAACAACTTATTTCAAACTTGAAATGATGCAAATATTCAAATAAAATATAGCACACATTTATTTTAGATACATTTTATCTAATTCAGCTAATTAAAAATACTCTAAATG